CAATGCAAGCGGGCTTTGTTTTAACGAGGGGAAGCATGATGATGCTCCAAAGTGTTGCGAGATTAGTGTGAACATAGTATAGCATGCGTATAGCCCACTGCAAAAGTTGGATTGCATGGGAGTGCACGGCATGCCTGGCAAACATGTCCGCGCCAGTCTCTGCTTACATTCCTGGAGCCCTGGCAATCCCAATATCGTGTTCTGAAAAGGGCTACAGTACTGTAGCGACTGCTGGTGAGCGACCTCGTTCCAAAAAGATCCACTTCGCTGCCACATCCTCCAACCTTTAAGCCTAAACTCTAAGCCTGACGGGTGTTCCGGCACTCCCAGATCATCCTGCTTTTGAAAGCACATGCACAGGCTGTACTTTTTGGAACATGAAAGAGACCCTGTACTTTGACTTAATATCTGGGTGAGGCTTGATGTGGCAGCATCGGGGGATATCGGGGGCCTCTTCCAGCGTGGGCTGAGCCAACTTGCTCTGCGGCGAGTCCGAGGCTACGCACTGCCTCGAGTTGGTACCAAAGTGCGCACATGTGCGACTGCGAATGGCGCGAAGCACGACGCCTGCGTGCGCGCAACAACTGCTTCATGACCTCAGGACCAGCAACTAGGACCAGCAACTGCAACACATTGACCATCCGCCAAGTCTTGCTGGTTGCAGCTGTGCCAATCTTTGCCCCCTGCCACTGTCCGGCACAATGCAAAGCCGAGGCAGAAGAAGCAAAGAAGACAAAACTCCTCCGCCTTCGGACGTCACATGTGCATGAATGTACTGATAGTACTGATAGTACTGATTAGTACTGACTGTGCATGCTTGTGCATGCTTTGTCGTGGCTTGTGTTGCGCACCATCGGATGGAGGGCAGCTCATCAGATGAACTAAGAGGCAGACCAATGGAGCAGCCGCAAGCAAAGACATGAAGGTGGTCAGGAAGCTCCCGACAGGGACCTGCCACAGCTTGCAGGTGCGAATGTCGCGAAGCGTGGGTTTCGACCATGCATGCGCCAACACGCCAGCACGCACAGGCAAACGCACACGCACATGCGCACACGCGCACACACACGCGCGCGCGCACACGCACACACGCACACACGCACACACGCACACACGCACACACGCACACACGCACCCACGCACCCACGCACCCACGCACGCACGCACGCACGCACGCACGCACGCACGCACGCGCGCACGCACACACGCACACACGCACTCACGCACTCACACACGCACACACGGACACACAGACACAAACACGCGCGCGCGCACAAACACACACACACACACACACACACATGCATGAAGACATCTGTGAACGACAGCTATGATTGCATTTCTAATCACATCCACCCCATGGTTTCGAAACATCTGGACCTCGGGAGGACACAGGGTTGCGGGCCGGTCATTCTAGTGACTACAGCAGTCGCCAAAAACCGCACTAGAGCGAATGTTGCAGTAGCTCCTTCTTGCAAAATATAGCAAGGGGAACACATCCCTTGAATAGTCAAGTTCGAGCTCAACGGTTTTCGGACAAAGATCAAGCACTCTCCGAACATGATATCGAACCTCAGGGCAGAAGAAGGATTTTGGTGCCCATGCTGCCCATTCGTTCGGTTAAAAAGTAGAGCCGTTCTGAATGCACAAGCGAATGCACAATGTAGCGACATCCAAGAAGCGTGAGACAAAACATCTGCTCCGCGCACCATCGCTGCCAAAGTTCGCTACTGGAAATGCCGGCTTCAGAGACCTCAGTGTTTCAGAAAGGCCACGGCGGAAGAGCACGCGCTCTGAGCTTTCTGGTGTGCTCTCATGGTTCTAGGGGTTTAAAGGGGCTGGAATGGTCGAGGGTTGTGTGTTCAGCTCTTCGTCTTTCGATGAGCGTGCGTTGCATCATGAGCTCAGGCACAAGCTTCGGAAGGAATAAAACGTCGATGAGGGCCTGTAGCTGCTGCGACGCACTGGACATGCCTATTTGGGGTCTCCGAAATCAGGGATCCCTTTTGGAAAGGGGGGGGGGACCTAGGATGTGGCGTGGAGTCTCCCATATTTAAGGGTGGGGATACAAGTACCTGAAGCGTTGGAAACTCCATGTTGGGACTTTATCAGTCGCCTCGCAGGGGTGTGGTGCAGAGTCGGTGACGATGCCACCTCATCCCGAATGACTAGCCAGGCATAGGACTGGCTACACAAGCGCAGGCACAGCGACGTCTTGAAACTGGCAAAGCATCAGGAAACAACGCCGTCCTCCACGCAGCTTCCCGCAGACTCCAGCCCATAAAGAAGCTCCGAGCCAATCCGCGAAGGATGCAATGCTGGCATGCAGATGCAGACATGGTGCAAGGAAGCCAAAGCGTGCTGAACTGCATCATGTGTGTTAAAACATGTCAATGGATCCCCAGAAAAAGATCACCCAAGCCACACACGGAAAGAAATGTTCGAGCACCGGGCAGTCGAGTATTGCGCATCCTTCAGATTCAACGCTTTCGGGTTACTCGTTCAGCTTCCGCCGGTCGATGCAACAATGCATTGTAGTTGCATTGTACTTATGGATACGAAGGATTCGTCTGCATCCGGCGCACATTGCTGTGTGCATCAAGGACATTGAAGCGGCAGCACTTTGTTGCTGGTGCGGTTGTTTCTGTTGTTGTGTGTTGTGGACGGAGAGCCATGATCCGCCATGCATGCGTCAGGCGCAAGGCCGTGGGCATCCGTAACATACAGAATCCAGGCATCCTGCACGAGTCGGCAGTCCCCAAATAGTTTCCTTCGCTTTTCGAAACAGTGGGCTGCAGAAAGCTCTACCGCCAGACATTTGATCTGCACAGTGGCAGGTCAAACACTTGTGAGATTAACTTGATTATTGTCAGCTCCGGCTTCACTCTATTCCTGTCTCCATCGACAGGCCCCTTGCATGCTTCCAACATCAATCACATGGCAGTGGGTCAAAATTCGGGTTGTCGCGGGGGGTCCCCCCCGCCCTCTGCTACAAGCCTTGTCGCGGGCAGGTTGTTTCATACCTTTGTCGCGCCGCTACTTTGTACCCAATTTTCTTAGTTGGGTTTTGTAAGGGTTTAGGGTAAAGGGTTTAGGTTTAGGGTTGGGGTTTCGGATGAAGAATTTAGGGACCGCAGGGATTTTACTGGAGAGCCTTAAACCCTGAACCCTGTAAATATAAACCCTGGGCTTCTCGTTCAAGGTTGTCCTACGGATGGGCACCTGCTGGCTCGAGCAGTCGCGCGGGTTGTCGCGGGTATGTCGCGCCCTGTCGCAGGCCTTGTCGCGGACTGAGAGTGAAAGTTGCTGCAGACACGCATCAAGGTCGCATCGAGATTGGCAATGAGAAAATTCAATGGTATTGCTGTCTTGTCGGGGGGGGGGGGGTTGTAGCCTTGTCGCGGGGGGGGTTGTGGTTACCTTTGTTGCTGTCTTGTCGGGGGGGGGGGGGTTGTAGCCTTGTCGCGGGGGGGGGGTTGTCGCGGACACGGCACGTCTGTTACAAACCTTTGTCGCGGAGGGACCCCCCGGTGCCTGTTACAAGCCCGGAAAAAAAACTCACTGCCACATGCCTGTATAGTTCTTGTCTTGTGTACTCGCACTGGCAATGATCCGCACTGCCAGTGATCCGTCTGCCACCGACACGTTTGGAGTTCCAGACAAGCCCGTGAAGGAAAAGCCCGATGATACCCGCAAGTGGCCTTTTGGCTCGCGGCTCGAGGTCTCTGGCTTCCCTCGGATCCATGTTGGCAACACTCCTCGAGATGTCAGAGTTGTTGTTTGTACTGGTGGCTACTGCAAGTTGCTGTAGATACAGTGGATGCTGTAGTTCTCGCCGGCTTGGGCAGTGGGCTGTGACCTGGCTGCTGCTGGCATTCCTACAGGGCCCACTCGAAGCCCACGTGGGAAAGAAGGCTGACAAAGCCCTCACGCCCGCCGACGCTGCTTCTCGGAAGCTGCCAGCTTCAGCTTACTTCGCCTGCCAAGCTTTGCCGATTTTTAGGGCCTTACTGCGCCGCGGACTCTGTTGAACTGTTGGCAACTATGGTGCACAACAGGAAGATACAAGAGAAGAAGCGCGGGCGCGAGCGCCTGATCTTCTCCGCTCGTGCACGAGCCTCCTCCAAACGCAGCCTTGCAACGACCGGGTCACCAAGTGTAGCGGAGTGTAGCGCCCCACAAAGGACATTGGTCTGAGCCCGCAGCTTTTTGGATAGATACTCTTGCTGTGATCGACCTGCGGATCAGAAAAATGGGCCCGTTCTGCGGCAAAAAGCTTTGATTGCGTTGCACACAATGTGGGGGGGTTCCGAAAATAAGGGGTACGCTTTTTGGGGGTTCCTATACTAAGGATTATATGGCAGTTGATCAAAATCACTTTGTCCCGGAAGCGTGTCTTTCGCCAAAATTAAATTTCCTTTCGCGGAACTGTAGCGCGCCTTGTCGCGCGCACTCCTGAACCCCAAGACCTAAAATCACGCCCATGGCGCCTACGTACTACAGCTACGCACACGCACACTTCTTAAGCAGATGCCACGGGGGCTGGGCCCTTCATGGGATACGTTAGACTTACGCGTAGCTTTCGGGGAGTTTGCGCCAGTCTTTTTCAAAATCTCAGGCTTTCGGAAACGGATTTCCTAAACCCTAAACCCTCAATCCTCGAACCCTAAACACTAAATAAACCCTAGACCCTCGCTGCGTGTAGTGTGGTCCGACGGAGGCTCTCAGCCAGCTGGGCGTGAGAGACGAGAGCGAGCCTTACGCCGCGTGTGAATAGCAAACAGGCGCCGTGCGTCATTTTGTCGCCAAAAAAAGTTCCTTTCGCACAGCCTCTCCGCGGATCTTTCGCGGACACTTATACATCCTTGAAATGTAGGTTTATGTAAAGTTCCTTACAAGGACCTTTTGATATCTTTTGATCAACACCCATATAGTACTTCGGGGTATACTAGGGGCACCCACGATTCTGGGAAATGGCCAGCCCTAAACCCTAAACCCTAGCCCTAAACCCTAAACCCTAAACCCTTAGGGCCACCCCCTGCTTTGGGAAATGGCCATGTGAGCCCAGCGCCCAGCGGGCCTGGAGGCTTCATCTTGTTCCAAAGCCGCAGGCCACGGCGCTGAGCACCCTCTTGCCAAGTGTCCCCACGCTCCAGGGCCACCTGAAAGATGAAAATGCGGTTTAGGGTTTTAGGGTTTAGGGTTTAGGGTTTGGGGTTTAGGGTTTAGGGTTTAGGGTTTGGGGTTTCGGGTTTAGGGTTTAGGGCTTAGGGAAAAGCTGCCCGTGGCCAAACTCGACTTTGCAAGGCTGGCTGGACGAAGTCGGCCTCGTGCGCGAGGATTCGGATTCGCTTCGGCTTTGCCGGCATTTTGCGAAGCTGAACCGGCACGATGGGATCGTAGCGCTCCTCCTGTCCAGGATTGCCCCCCTCACGCTTTCCACTCTGCCACAAAGGATGCACATGCGTCCTTGAGATACTCCAAATGCGGCTGCCACATCCACGATGGGCCTCACTCCCAGTGTGGAGCTGGTCTACTGCCGCGTGCTGGGGTTTACGTTGGCTTCTGCCATGTCCGCGTGCAATCACGGGCATGCACAACTCGCTTTCGCGACTGCAATCTCCAAAACTGCTGGTTCCTAGGATGAAGATCCGAACTTGCAGTGCTTTCTGTCTTTCGTCTTCTTGCTGCATGCACTGCATTGTGCTTGTTGCTCCTTGGTTCCTTCTGCCGGTCCCGCCATATGCGCCTGACTTGTCTCAGATTGCGCTTTTTGGCCGCCGAGGCGATGGCTTTCGGCCTCCGCGAGAACGGGCTCCTCCTCTGCGAAGCGCTGGAGAAGCGGGTGGACCTTCTTCCTGAGGCACTCACGACTTGTGGTCCGTTCTCGAAGAGTCTAAGTTCCTTTTGAGGTTCCCATTTCAATATGGAGCCTCATGATGAGGGTGCTCCCAAAATCCAGGACCCTAAACCCCAAACCCTAAACCCTAAACCCTAAACCTAACTTCATACTAGTAGTGTTTGGCACTCCCGTATGCACCGCTGGGCTGCGCACTTGGCAGCAAGCTCAGGCCGTCCAGGGCTCACAGGGAAGGCGGTGCGCTGCGGCGTCGGCTGCAGCTCCTGGGACTAGTTTAGGGAGCAGAAGAGACCCTTTACAGGGACCCTCGGGGTCGCAAGGGCTGTTTCCGGGTTACTTATGCCTCAAGTGTCAAGCTGGGTCTCCCAGACCCGACCTTACAGGCAGACCTCCAAATTCACATGGCGTGTGTCAAGAAAGGCATGTTCGTTCACGATGATTTGTGTGTTGAGTGGAATTCCTCCCTCATGCACGTGCTGGGGGAGCGCGCAGTTCTGAAGCAAATGCCACAAGATGTGCCGGCCTGTTCGGAAGCAATGATGCCCACGTCTGCAGGAGTTTCTGACACGTCCTGCAAGCCAAATCTGGCAAGACGAAACGCGTCCTTTCTATTCGAAACGTGGCAAAAAGCAGTAAGCTGCATGAATGAGGAGCCTCACACGCCTGGCACTTTTCAAGAAGAGCATGCTCTTTCAGGCTTAGGAAGGCATAGTCTTCGGAATCAGCAAGAAGCACACAACAATCATGGAGCTTGTTATATATTGCTCCTGCAGGTCGCCATCTTCGATGTCGGTCGTGGTTTGCTGATCATCGGTGTCAGCCTCAGCCTCGATGTCAGCCCCAGCCTCGCTGGCTTCGGGCAGCTCGTACAGAGCCTGGGCCGCCTGCGCAAGTCGCTGCTTGAAGCTGTCACGAGCCGCAAGCTAATCTTTGCGGCTTCTGAGAGGCACGCAGAGAGACGGAGACAGAGACATAGGGGGCGAGAGAGAGGGAAAGAGAAAGCGCGAGCTCTTGATCTCGGCCTCCAGGACTAAGGGCTCCGATGCACCTTTCCACAACGATCTAACTCTCGACCAGCATCCACCCCCACCCCACTCATTGTGGATGTCTTGCTGTGGCACGTGCACCTTCTGGGATCAGCTCGTAGGCATCCTCCAGAGAGAAGCGCACCTTCACGCGATAGGTGAATGATCGAGTCGTTCACTTCAGAGGGCTTTGTTTTGACAAGGCCTACAGCAATGTAGAAGCCAGCCGGCCCTTGTTGCTTCCGCTGCCGCTCTTCTGTTCCACTTTTGGTCACTTCTGCAACCTCCATTGCACTGTTGCCGCTGCGATGGCCAGGTTGGCAAGCTCACTTGCGCAGCAGCTGTGGTCGAGCGGCTGTGGATTGTGCAAACAACAGGACTTCGCGTGTGAATCTTCGTCAGCGACAGGATGCTTGGTTTGCGGCGTTGTGGCTTTTCAGGAAGTTCGTTGAATGGCTTTGGACTGGAACATGCTCATGCGCATCAGAACTGCAAAATCTGAACCTTAAATCTAAACCCTAAACCCTACACCGCAAGTATGCAGGAAGACTACAAGGCCGATCGGAGGGTTGCTAACCTGGCCCATAAGAGTTTTGTTTTCCCTGAACCCAAAGCACCTCAAACCTCAAACCGTCAAACCCTAAATTCAGCCCTGAAGTCTAAACCCTAAACCCTAGGCCCATTCGGGTTTCTGAAGGGTGAACCGATACAGCCTGCTGCTTGAGACCCAGACCTCGAGCCCCCGCACTCGCAGAGCCAAGGGTGCCCGCGGGTTCTCTTCTGACGTCACAGGCACCTTCCAGGGCAAGGTCAGGGGCACACGGGAGAAAAAGAGGTGTAACACCCTAAACCCTAAACCCTAAGCCCTAACCACCCACGGCGTGCTCGTGCCAGGGCCTCGTGAGGCAGGGCAGTCTCAAACTGCACGAACTGGCCAGGGAACAGACCTTGAGCTCATTGAGTCCCGTCTGCTTCAGGGGGTTATTCTCATTCTTTTTTGGGTGGGAAATGGTAAAGCTCTCTCATTTCTCGAGAATGGGCAGCGCCTTGCTTCTTATTCGGTCAAGGAAAGCTTTTCGGTTTAGAATTGAAGCGGACCTTCCTTTTCGTGGCAAAAGAATTAACCAGAAAGGGCACTAAGATTCAAAATCGCAAGGTTGCTCCGAAAAGGAAGCGCCCCCTCATTCCTTACAAACAGTTCTCTTGCTTCTCACTCTACACTTTCAAGAGAAGGGTAAGTTAAAGAGTATCCTTGCAGTTTGACTCAGGAACAAGAGTCCTTGTTGTTCTATTCTTTCCTCTTAAGGAGAAAATGAAGGGACCATCTATTCGTTGCAATCAGAATGAGGGGAGGGGATCACTACAGGGCAGAGTTCTTCTCACGTAAAAACCCTCATAGGTGCATCAGGAAGTCATGAAGTAGGAGCGTTCTTTTGACCTACAGGAAAAACGAAAGAGCCCACCCCCGACAGGTAACAACAATGTCACGGTAACAGTAGTAGTGGTGGTGCGGGCGCACGAAGCTGCAATTTGGCAATGAGCCGTGCCGAGATCGGATTTGTAAACCTTGACAACGATTCTGTTCTGGACCCTGATCGGCCATCCCGGTCGTGATGGCAACTTAGAGTGGAATTTTATGGGGTTCATGTTCTGTAACATGACAAACATGCAGCAGAGGGACGGCGGCTGTCGTGCCACCTGATGTCCCGTCGAAGGACTCGAATCATGTTGAAGGCATCCTGTGACATTGAGATTCGCCGCTCGTGCAGAGGCATCCCGTTTTGTGAATGGGCAAACGCTTCGGCCGGCCGGCCCCTACGCAACGCTTCGCAACTTACAACGTTGGAGCGATGAAGCGAGAAGCCCGGAATTCCAGCATTGCTCTCATGAAGTGAGGATACGTTGCATGGACGTGGTGCATCTCATCACGAAGACAACTCAAATTGATCTCAAGTCTACCAACAGTGCGTGACTGCATGCCTTTTGGTGGTGTGTATGGGTTTGCATGTGATGTGTGTGTGTGTGTCGTGTGTATGTATGTATGTATATACAGGCATACACAATATGTCGTGTAGGTTTGCCAGCATCCTCAGGATTAGCTCACCCAGCACGACACCATCAAGCAACCGCGGCAATATACACAAATCAGTCACATCAGTAGCTATGCATGCACCCTCTCTGTGTGTTTGAGATGTAGCATTCTGACGTAACACGGCGGTGCAGATGTGGGGCAGGTGTAGTGCAAGCGTAACATAAAAGAAGCTCATGTAAATGCAGCTTAAGTGCAAACGCAAGTAACTCAATGGGCATGTACTGGAAAGCCGATAGCGCAGACCTAAGGCGAATGTACTGTAGATGTAAGGCGGCTATGATGCAGATGTGATGCCATGTAAATGTAACGTAAACGCAACGTAAAGGTAATGTAAGTGTACGGTAGATGTATTGAATGTAAACATTAGGCCATTAGGCAAAAAATGTAAGCGCAATAGGCGAATGCGATGTGAATGTAATGCAGTTCGAATGTAAAGTAATAAATGTAATGTAAACGCAATGAAGACGTAGTGTATATGTAGGGCAAATGCAATGAAATATCAACGTAATGTCAAAGTAATGTCAACACAATGTCAACTCAATTTCCGTGTCATGTATGTGTGAACTATGTGATTGGGCTACGCAGCCACGACGCGATGACTTGCTGCTACATGCAGCTTTCGATCAGACAGACAGGCAGCCAGACCAGTGTGTGAATGAAGTGTTGTTGCATTGCGTTGCCTATCTAGGCGTGAACATCCGTTCTTCGTCGTGATGTGACATGTTGTTGATCCGGTTTGTACTGTCGAGTCTTGCCTGCTCCTCAGAGGGAAGGATGTAGCCCTCGCCAGCATCCTGCCGTTTAAGAGGCGCAGATTGAACGCACTACTCCGCTTTCTTCCTCACATTCTCACATGCGAGGTGACCTCGTCCCACTCAAAGACCACTCCAGTCTGCAGTCGCAGAATTGTGGGATCAGGGCCTTGAAGCATGGCAGTGCTCGCCGGGTTTTGCCCTCCCCACATCTCGCTTAGCGTCGTGAGACCTGCTGCAGCACCGCTTTTCTGGATTTGACAGGGCCCTCACTTTGGATGATGGTGTTGTCCAAGTAGGTGCACCTCGGAGCCCAGCGGAGCCCATCACTCATGGGCATCGCTCTGCGAAGCGGAAGAGGTGCTACCGGGCAGCTGCCCTGAAACCCTGAGACCCTAACACCTTAAGACCCTAAGACCCTAAAACTCTAAACCCCCAAAGTCCTTAACCTCTAAACCCAGAATCCTCTAAACCCCTAAGCCGCTCAGAATCAGACTTGGCTCCATTTACCACGTCGCCAGGCAAGAGATCGTCGACAGTGCCCAGCTTCGCCTTCGCAGGCTAAGCCGCGCAAGGACACTTGGGCGACTCTCTTGTCATGGTCCCTTTTTGGGGTTTCGGGTTTAGGCTTTTAGGGTTTAGGGTGAGTACCCTGGAAAGAAGGCTCTGTGTACCCAAAGAGGCAGAGCGTTTGAATCTGCATGCCCCTTGCAGACCTTGCCGTTTGTCTTCACTGTTTGTCGTAGAGCATTCACTTCTAGCTTATCGTCTTATCGTAGGCCACTGCTCACCGAAACCCCTCAGTTAAGGGCCCCAACTGCAAAAGCCATGGTGCAGGGGTCTTGACATGTCTCACTTAACTAAACCCCAAACCCCAAACCCCAAGCCCCAAGCCCCAAACCCTAAACCCTAAACCCCAAACCCTAAACCCTAAACCCTAAGCCCAACAAGAGGCCTAACCTGGGGAACCCAAGCCCTGAACCCTGAAATCCGTGGTGACAGAGGCCATTCGCCTGCGGGAGGAAGCCGAAGACTCCCGTTGTGATGTCCTGTGATTCCGGATACTGCTTAACAACTTCTAAACGTACTTATCACCCACTTATAAGCCCCTGAAGTGCCCCGATATGGTTATAAGTACAGTTATAGCTAGCTGTACTTATAAGCCCCTTAAGTGCCCTAATATGGCTAGAAGTATACAGTTCTAAGTACAGTTACAATTGGAAGTACCATGAACCTCCAAGTCGTAAGGGTCTTGGGGATTAGGGATCAGGGCTTGGTGCTTGTAGGTGCTTGTAGGGTTTGGGGTGTAGGTTCATGGTGTTTGTTAGGCTTGGGGTTCAGGGTTTCGGGCAATTTGGGGTTTATGGAGCCGTTCGGAGGGGTTTTGGCCGTTCGGGGTGGTGACAGGTGGTGGTGGACATTTGACGACTGCAAGTCCTGAACAATAGCACCTTCTTCCGTCACCTCCTTGATTAGGAGTGAGAAGTCGCCTGGCCAACTTGGCTCCAGGCATTTGAACAGGAGCAATCTGCGCCCACCCCGCTGGACTGACTGGCTCTCTTGGCAGCAGGCCTTCGTACAGGTACCTGGCGCAACCAGCGACAGCAACAGCGAGTAGGTGTCAACATGCGTGTTCTCTGCTTGCAATCCTACACCTACGTGCATCAGTTCATTTTCTGAATCGACCAAGAGAGCTCTTGGAAGCTTTGGGCCTACCAAATGCCCAAGAGGATTCAGGACAAGCAGCCAGTGCAAGCGATTTCAGTATCCACCCAACCGACCGAGATCCAAACTGTGCTGATCATGATGCTCCGGGGCCGAAGACGTGGAGCGGAGGAGTGTGTTTGCGAGGAGGGTGTTGGTACTGGCGATGTTTTGTACCCGACGCTCGTCTTGGCCCTTCGCATGACATGTGAACATGTCAGCACATCACACCATAGCAACACTGCAGGTTGCTGCTGATTGCAGCAACCCTAGTTACTCTGCTCCCACATCTGGTTCTTATGTGGACCCCCCCCCCCCCCCCCGCGCTCCTTAAACCCTTTGTTGAGCAGTTTTTTTTTGTACATAAGCATGGCTGTACAGAGAACAAACAACAACTTTAGGACCTGGTAGCTGATGGGCATCTTCGATCTGCTCTGTTTCAAGTCCAGGAAACGTTTTGGATCTGCAACGGAGAGGGCTGATCTTGTGACGATCCACAGGGCACTGTTGCTCCAGCGTCCTGATCTGCAGGTCCCAGTCCGGCACTATTCCTTGCAGCCGCATGAGCCGGCGGAGCAAAGTCTGACAGCAAGACAAGCAAGAGGTAGCAAAAAGCACCGGAAGCCCAACCATCCCAACCTACAAAAATCATCCAAGGCTCGATTGTAAAAAGCATCCTCCTTGTGCAAGTACCTGGAGCATTGCGAGTGCGAGGACTCTTTGGCATGTCATCCCATCTCAACCGCTGCCTCACCTGCTCAAAGGCCTTTCCACTGGCTCCTGCAGTATGCTGATGGAGGAGGACCTCGACATGTCAGGACGATGGATGGGGCGTCTCGGCTTCCGGCGAGTCTAGAACAAGCAGACCAAGATTTGGTCACCTTTCCCCCCTTCCCAACCCCCCCACCAAAAACTTTCCGTACACCCCTCGCCTGTGGGACCTGCCCGAGCCACTTGGAGGAGCCGAAATCCGATGCTGCAGCGTTCCAGGCTGTGGGGCCTTTTACAGAGACCATGCCAAAAAACACATTTTTCTGATTCTCGTCTGGAACTTTCTGGGACCTGGGGCCCCCCTTGCACCTTCCGGGATTTTGGTTGCACACGCTACACCCCGCGTTGGGCCAGCCCAGCTGCCGAAGCCGCTCAAGCGTCTGCAATTCGCGGTCAGTGTGGATGGCGCGAAAGGGGCACAACCAAGCCACATTGATCGAATTATGAGCCTTCTCGTCTCCGACATCACCCAACAAGGGCCCGGAACTTGTAGATCAACCCGCGCATGACACCAACATAAGGCCACGGCTGCTGCCATCTGTCAGATGAAGTGGACGGAGCTCTCGCCTTTGAGCATACGCAGAGGGTTGCAGGATGCCCCGTGATATTCTCAGTTCCGGCTAAGGAACTTAAGCTAATTTACCGTAATAGGGGCACTATAGAAAATAATTCCAGTACCCTTACTACGGCAAGATCAGTTCCTTCACACGAACCCAGGATATTGCCCGGGCAAATCTGTGCACCATGCCAGCTGCTTCGACCGCGCAGGTGGGAGCAGTGCGCAGGTAGCTGGCCTGCGGTGAGGCAAAGAAGGGCCCCGCGCTTGAGCTCTACGACCCTTAAAGACTGATATCAGAAGCCGAACGCAGCCGCAGCATGCCGCAAAATCCCACATCTGTGCGTGCACTGGCAATACAAGACTTCCGCAGCTCTCGAGGTGCAGCATTCGAAGAGATTGCATCTGCGCTGGTCACTGTTTTGCCGGAACGAACATGGTTCCTCCGAGGCCAAATTTCTCCCACGGCAAGGCAGAAAGCCTTTCCGCTTCTTAGAAGCTCAGCGTGGCGAAGGAACTCTGGAAGCTGCCTGGAGAGCTGATGCTCTAAGCGGCGTGGGCGCTGGCGTTAATTGTGAGAGACCACTGTGCATCAGATGGCTGGTAAGACTCGCATCAGGACCGGTCTACGGCAGCCCGCGATCACATCAGCCCTCGCACAACGCACACGAAAAGCATGGCAAGAAGCAAGTACAGAGTGGCAGTCACCTGAGATGTGCGGCGCCGCGGGGGGGGGGGGGGGGGGGGGGGGGGGGACGGGGGCTGTTCATTCTTTAGGCTTCCGTGGCATCTTTGTGTACCGAGCAGGGAGTCTCTGCAACCTAAGAATCGTTAGTTTATAGGCTTTAGGGGGGGTTTAGGGCTTAGGGTTTGGGGCTCAACGATTCTAACAACTCTCGGAGTTCACCCTAAACCCTAAACCCTGGCTTCATCAAACTTGGCCCAGGCACTCCGACGGTAACCTTCGACGTCCTGCAAGCAAGCGGCTGGAAAATGCTTTGGGACTTGTCACCAAACCCTTCCTAAACCTGCAACTATTTCCATTCTTCTGGAAAGTCTTTTAGTATTAGTATTTTTATTACTATTCTAGTATTGCTATTACCATTATAGAATTTTAGTACTGTCATTAAGAAGGCCCAAACACAGAGGAGCGTGGTCTGACTCCCGGAGTCGCATGTTTGATGATGCAAGCTTACAAAAAATGGGCGTCCCCACACTACAAGGAATCCCCACCCCTATTTTGCAAGCAACCCCCAAATAGGACAGGACCGAGTAGCGGACCAGGTGTCTTGAGGGTGTTAGGGTTTTGTGGCGTTGGGGCAATTTGGGGCGTTGGGGCAATTTGGGGTATAGGGCTTAGGGTTTCAGATGCTTTTAACTTCTGTTTCTTAGGATTCTGTCCTGGCGTCGCCCACTGAGCCACGGTTGAAAGACCACCAGGACCAGTCGCTCAACGTTTTGTCTCGGTCGCACAGGCAGCTCCGGAGGCAATCGGTAATCTCAATACTGCTATTTATTCTTGAACAAGCTGACCAGGACGCTTTGAACGCTTCAGTATTTTCGGTAAGCTCGTGTGGTCTGCATGCCATATGACAGCCTAAATCAGAGCTCTCTTTAGCGGTATGCTAGTCCACAAGATATCTGTGCAATCTTCACGATCCTAGTGTAATATAAGAAAAAGTATGATACTGTATGCATATTGTATGAATACAGAAAATGTACCATGCAGTTCATGATAGTGTGTAATTTTGTAACACAAAATGTATGCTTTTTGTAAAACTATAATGATATAGCAACACTATCATAGTATACGAATACAATATTGTGAATACAAACAAAGATCAATCAACAATGAGATTCAAGAAAAAAACAGAATCTAAACATGTATGCATATAGTAATAAAATTATTTCTTAAACATGTCAATAATAATATAGTGTATAAGAGTATAATACTACCATGAACAAGACATGATCTTTTAACAGAGTAGTGTGTTTTAATATGTTCTTATATGATATGAAAAATGTCGTAACAGATTGTTTTGGGATATATGTTGCAATTATAAACAAATCTAAGAACATAACCATGCAATACAAGAACCGAACAATAGAGCCATGACACAAGATAGTAATATACTAATTATCATAGTATACTAATCGTATAAGAAATGTAGCAATACAGTAAAAGAGTAATGTAGCAACTATAGAAATAGAGCACCATAGTATTGTAAAAAATGCCAAACAGAAAAAAGTAACATTTGATCATTGTAATATAGTAAGAGTCGAATTTTTATCTCATATCAGTAAACTGCGTAGAAAACGAATATGCAAACGTACTCTGTCTCGCTTCCAAGGTGCCGCTAATCTGGCAAACGTGCAGAAGCTCTTTGCCCAGGCATTTGATCCTCGGGCTGCTGGCTGCTGTTTAGGGTTTAGGGTTTAGGGTGTTAGGGTGTAAGGGTGTAAGGTGTAGGGTTTAGGGTTCAGGGATCAGGAGCTGCGTCATTCAAGGGAAGCTTCTCAGCAGCTATCAACCAACACGTAGACTTGATATGCACTGCAGCCATGGCAGGTGGTCCGTGTATATAATATCTTGTAGCTGGCGGAAGACACGTCTTCAGACATCAAACTGCACCCTAAACCCTAAACCCTAAACCCTAAACCCTAAACCCTAAACCCTAAACCCTAAACCCTAAGCCAATTTGGTGATACTGTCCAGGAACACTGTGGTTTTCAGCCAAGTCTCTCGGGACCGCCCCAGGCCTGAGAGTGATGATGGGGCGAATCTGCAGCAAGGAAAGAATCGAAGAATCTTCCCCCCTAAACCCTGAACTTAAACCCTAAACCCTAAACCCTAAGCCCGAAACCCTAAACCCTAAACCCTCGGTGCCGGGCACACTTCCGAATCTCTGGATCCTCGGGATCGCCACCCAGTGCCAGACACCTTGCCTCAGACTCCTGGGAGGGTTTGCGCAGGGTTAGGGTTTAGGATTTAGGGTTTAGGGTTTAGGGTTAGGGTTTAGGCTTTAATTAGGGTTTAGGGTTTAGGGTTTAGGGTTTAGGGTTTAGGGTTTGGGGGGGGGGGGGGGGGGGGGCGGCACTTTCAATCCTTCCAGGGATTCCCCGTATGTTTTCGTGCTGCTCGGAGAATGCGTGTAGATACCAACCAACGGGCTGCAAGGAAGCAGGGTCCTGATTCACACAGGCAGAGCGAGAGTCAAAGGTGAACGTGTCGAACGAGTTGCAGCTCTCCTTATCTTCACACGCAAATGGGCACCTCTACAAATCTAAACTCCCGGCTGCAAACGGATCAGATTGGCGAACAAGCGACATAGGAGTAGTACAGGGGCTTGTGGCCATAGGTCGCCTTCGGAAAGTAGGTTGACACCTGCTTGCCAGCGCAGGAGCATGCAGAAGTTCTACAAGGTGTTCTGAGCTAGTCGCATCGCCACCATACCACCAGACTACCAGAGTGGGCGATTAGACCCTATAACCCCTGAAAACGGCCCTTTATAGGGTTGATTACGGGGCTGTATAGCACCTAATAGCCCATCCTGATAAAACCTCTTGCCAGGGTGCTTTTGGTGGCTCCTCAATGCTACAGGAACAGGGATCCACATAGCACCACTGTCGGTGGCACCTGGCCCGCAAAGCACGAAAACGTGCATCAACGAACACGTTGGACGTTAAGCTGTTTAGGGTTTAGGGTTTAGGGTTTGGTCTACCAGCAGCTGAATTGTAAGACAATACGAAGCGCGGCGGACATGGCATTTTTAGAACAGCTCAACAGACTGGACTGATCTTGTGGCACCATCCAGGCGGATCTTCACCTCGACAGTCTGGGTGGCGCCCCTCATCCCACTTCTGACAGCTGGAGCCCAGATCTGCTGGGAAAGGTGACCTGGTGGACGAAAGATGCGAAGTATGTGGGTTTAGGAGTGAGGGACAGCACTGCGAGGTTCTAGACTTTAGGGTTTAGGGTTTAGGGCTTAGGGTTCTTCATCAACCACCACATTGCGTTGCCATTAGCCAGGTCTCTCTGTTGAGAAGTTCACCGAGAGGTTGCCGCTGAGCCCAGCGATTCCAATGCACTTGCAGTTTGCATGGCCCATCAGCTCCTGCGAGGGGTCGAGTGGTTGCAGTCCAGCGGTTCAACGTTTGTGAACTAACTATATACTTACCCTAAACCCTAAACCCTAAACCCTGAACCCTAAACCCTAAACCCTAAACCCTACGCCCCATAGAAGCCCAGAACCCAATGCATCTGGCACTTGAGTGCTGTCGTGCCGTCCACTTTCGCCTCCAGGAATCGGCCCGGATCTTTGCAGAGTGAAGGTTGCGAAGGCTTGCCTGTCACGTGAAACTCAGTTTAGGGTTTAGGGTTTAGGATTTAGGGTTTAGGATTTAGAGTTTAGGGTTTAGGATTTAGGGTTTGTGCGGCTTAGGGGTGTTTAGGTGGGGTCTGGCCTGCCTAGGTTTCAGGGCTTTAAGGCTTAGGTTGCAGGACTTCCTGCGCTCCACGTCGCTCGCCTTCAGCGCTGTGGCTGCCACAGGTAGCCGCCGATGCGTACACCGGATGGCCTAAGAACGAAAGCAAAGGTCAAACTCATGTGGGGGTCTCCGAAAATAGGGGTACCCTTCTTGGGGGGTCCCTGTAAGGGGATTTTATTCTGTTTGGGGTATAAAGGGCCTTTTATACCCCTATTTTGATGCAGCCAAGCAGCCCTGCCATGTCAACCCCTGCCATGCAGGATGTTCTCGGGAGGACACATTGCCTGGGCAGCGGCGAGGGAGACGCATGGACACGGGCAGGGATGCATGATGTGGCATAATCATAGGTGCCTGCGTTGTTCACATGCGTGCTGTTGCCCCAGTTCCGTGTTGGTGTACTGAAGATGTCAACTGGTTTCAGCCGGCCCCTGACCAAGGCCAAGTCGGAGGTTCAAACAAGCCCCAACAAAAGGCACGAAGCCTGTGATAAGGGTAGAATCAGAACAAGCCAGCAAACCGCAAACACAAAAACACCGTGCAAACGAGCGCACACACACGCACACGCACACACGCACACACTCACACACGCACACACGCACACACGCACACGCACACACGCACACACGCACACACGCACACACACCACAGCTCCTCATCAAAGTAGAAAGGGTGCTTGACGATTGGGAAGACCGCACAAGAGGTTAGAGGATGGTAAAGGCAGCAGGCAGTAGAAAGCACGGTTCGCCAAGGCTTTGAATCACATGGAGGTTTCCGAAAATAGGGGGTACCCTTCTGGGGGCCTCTTTAAGGGGATTCCATTCTGTTTGGGAAAAAAAGGGGTACCCCTATTTCGGGGAATACCCACATCAGTAGGTACGAAGTCACGACATCAAGTGTAGCCCGGGCTGCAATTGCAAGGGTCCACGAAGCACCAGGGCATCGGCGTCTGCGCTTGGCAAAAGGGATCCTCAACGCAAGGCCGCAAATTCTCAGCAATTTTACCGAGCCCTGGCTTCGATTCGGGGCAACTAGAGGATAAGGGCTTAGGGTTTAGGGCGTTTAGGGTGTAGGTTTTAGGGTTTAGGGTGCTTAGGGTTTAGATCTCTTTTAAAAACGCAATATCATCACGCGATACCGTCTCCGACAGGCAGCCGTCGACTTCGCCTGTCCGCAGGACCTGGGACGCGAATTGGCGACTTACGTCCCGACGCCCACATGCCCGCGGCACACCTTCCGAGCCTGGAAGTCGGGGAGCCCTAAACCCTACAAACCTTGTAAACCCTGTAAACCCCAAAAATCTTCATAAACCCGGAAAAGCCACTTAAAAGAACCATAAAGCCCCAAAATCTTCATAAACCCGGAAAAGCCACTTAAAAGAACCATAAACCCATGAACCCCTAAACCCGAAAGCCCACTTCGGCCCAGGCGCCTGTTGTCCCAGGCATCGCAATGCGCACCGACGCTGGCCGGATAAGCCTCGAGGTGCTGAAGGGGTTTGGGGGTTTAGGGGTTTAGGGTTTAGGGGTTTAGGGGTTTAGGGGTTTAGGGGTTAGGGTTTAGGGTTTAGGGGTTTAGGGGTTTAGGGGTTTAGGGGTTTAGGGGTTTAGGGGTTAGGGTTTAGGGAGGGGTAGCCCAAATATTTCCCCCAAACTGCGAGAATCCTTCTGGAAACCCCGGAAGAACCCTGGATGTTCGGAAACCCCGAGACTTAAAACCCCAGGCCCTAGACCCTGCCACGGCCTGAGAATCTGAGCTTTCGCCTTGGGAAGTCGCTGTCCTTAGAGCGAGGGGGTCTGCCAAGGCCTTTACAGCGAGAAAGAGAAAAAGAACAGGCCTTCAGCAACAGAACTCAAAGCCAAAGATTCCCACTTGTTCGGTCGAGGCCGATGCAGGGACAGCCAGGACTTCCATACGACGCAGGAGAATTCTGCACACCTGGGCGCTGGCCGTGAGAGATACCCCTACAGCCCGGACTTCTCAGACATCGATGCAAGCACCAGCCAATGAATGAAAGTTGAAACCATGTGGGGGTTAACGAACATAAAGGACCCCTAAACGAGTCCCCCAAATAGTAGGATTCCCTTATAGCAAAGGACTCCAATAAGGTATCCCCCCCCCCAATTTCGGGAACCCCCATTGTGAGATCATGCAGATCTACGTGCAGGCAAGGGCGCCTAGTCGGTTGGTTGCATGCTGGAGCAACTGGTGGCCTGCCAAACCAAGAGGGACCATCTGATGCACTGCCAGCGAGACGCCCAAAACTTAAGACTCTCCAAACCCTTGCAACCCGAACCCTAACAAGGCTTTGGTTACAACCCTTGCATCTGGATCCTGCAAGACCCGAATTAAAGCACTTAAGTAGTAAGCCTCAGTAAGCCGCAGAAACTCTCTAAACCCGAGACCCGCAATGAGCAAGGGGCGGTCCTGAAGATGCACGAGGTCCAGATAGCCCACACGCATCCGATCTCGAAGCTGCCGACGTTAAAACGGTTCTCGTAGAAACTGGGGCCGTGCGCAAGCATTGGCTGGCAAGGGGTTTAGGGTTTAGGGTTTAGGGTTTGCCCTATGGGTTTAGGGTATCATTTCCAGGTTGCTATGAGAGGTCCTGCAAAAACCCTCGACCCATGAGATGAGAGTTCCCTTGACAGGGGAAGCCCCACAAAGAAAGGGAGCCTAGAGTATGGGAATTGTGGGGACAAGTCCTTGTGAACAAACTGCAATTTCCTTGCAACACAGGCTCTTCTGGAGCTTTGAAGCCGTTAACATGCAGCGTTCGGACTAGCGTTGAAGATCCATTTGGGTATTCCCAAAATAGGTTTTTTTCTAGTATACCCCAAGCTACTATTTATACGAACCCCCAAACAGGGCGCCCCTATTTTCGGAAAGCCCCTGTGTTTTTTGCTTAGGTCTTGGGGCAGGGTTTGGGCTTGCAGGAACCAGATCGGCTGTAGGGGCATTGAGCATGTTCGTGTAGATGCTTTCCCCATAATTTGGCAGTCGCACCCCTAATCTCGAACCCTAAACTCGAAGCCAGAAACCCGAAACCCCAAACCCGAAAAACCCTAAACCAGACTCCTCCAGTAACCTGGCCGCTTGATGTCGGCCCAGGCACCGATGATCAGAAGCGCAAGGGACCTGGTTAGGGGTTTGTAGGCCTTAGGGCTTCGGGCCGTTTAGGGCTTAGGGTTTAGCGTTTAGTATGGTCCTTGCCTTCCAGGGGGGGGGGGGGGGGGGGGGGGGGGGGGGGGGGGTAACATTTCCGGGTCTCTCGCCGGGCATCTGGGAAAAACATGCAAACCCACCCCACCATCCGTGTATCATGTAAACGACATGAAAGAGACAGAGAACTAAAGGATGTCTGTTTAGGTCTTTGTGTGTGGGCTAAACACACAAGCAAAAACGTTACAAAGCCTGGGGGGGGGTTCTCCTGGTAACATTTCCGACCCCCCACAATGTTTCCAAGAAACCATCGGTAACTGACGCAGCCCCCCCCTCTTGGAAACACTTCTTAAAGCAGGGCCACCGTTTAGTTTAGGGTTTAGGGTCTCTGCCGGAAGAGCAGGCCTTGAAAAACCGTTAAGAGACTTTCTAGGGCACCGAAGTCCCGAACTCCAGAGCAAAAAGAACTCACAAAGGTCAGGCCTTCTCATTCACGGCCGGAAGCCCCAAGGAACGCAGTTGATAGGGTAAGGTGCTACAGCCATCATCGGGCCATAAGGCTGCGGCGACATTGCACTGAACTCCGCAGTCGCACAGCCCAAGATGGCACAAAGGCACCCTACACCCTAAACATTCCTAACCCTAAACCCTAAACCCGAAACCCTAAACATTCCTAACCCGAAGCCCGAAACCCTAAGCCCTACGGCATCTCGGTCATGTGCGAGCTGTGCCTCTCTCCTCTTGGCCGTTCGCGCAGCCAAGCGGCCAGAGCAGCCTGAATCAACGGCGGGTGGCTTTCAGGGAGCCCACATGGGAGCTTCCGAAATTGTTAGGGGTACCTTGTTGGGGTCCTTATGAGGGAATCCTACCATTTGGGGTCTACATTAAGGGTCCCCGAGTTTCGAACCCCCACACTACGACGAGTAGGAGGCCAGGCTCATTCTTTTCACCCGTCAGCGCGTCACACAAAAGACTTGGGTGCAGACTTCGGTCTCAGCTGTACAGTGTCTGGCAGCAGGGCACAGCGCTGCATTCCTTGAGTGGCACGTCCTTGGGAACTGATCCATACACATCTGCGGCGTACTCGGCAGAGGAAGCATTGCGCCACGACTGTCTTGCGGAGCCTCCGCTGTGGGCGTGGTCAAGCCCTAGTTCAGAAGGAGCAAAAAAAAGGCTTCTTGATCTGTGGGTGCTGATGAAAACTACGGGCCTGTTCTGGGTCTCGGAAGTGTCTCGGCTGCATTTTCGGTATCGTTGAGGGGTAAAACTGCCATGAGCTGCCCATGAGCTGCTCAACCCTCACATCTGAACTCCTGGAACAGGTGCTTCCAACCCCCTGCCACACCAGAGCTACAGGAGAAGCCAAGAGACAGTTGATCCGCAACGGCGGAACCTTGATTGACCCCCAGTCGATGCCGACAGCATCAAGGTTCCTGAGCTCGCGCAGACCGTCCGGAAAGCAGCAAGCACGTCCTCCAACCAAGAACATCCTAGACCCACGACATCCCCCGCAGGGTCTTGGGGTTTGGGGGTTTTGGGGTACGCACGCACACGCACGCACACACGCACACACGTACCCACACACACCCACACACCCACACACCCACACACCCACACACCCACACACCCACACACCCACACACCCACACACCCACACACCCACACACACATACACCCACACACCCACACGCACACGCACGCACACACACACACACACACAGAGACACACCTGATGTCTACTCGATCGGTGTCCACATGTGTCTACAGGGCAGCAAAAAATTAAAAAGCTTCAACAGTAAGTAGGTTCGCAGATGGAAAGGGGGGCCTTCCTTTCGTTTTTGATAAAGGAACCTTCGGGAATGATGTCAGCGTTTGAGCACTTGAATGACCCCGCTGGCGACCAGCACTCTTCAGTTGCCGAAAAGTGCATGTCAGTGCATGTCCTAAGTCCACCAGTTTTCGATTCGGTTGCGGCGTGATATTTTCCGTGAAACAATCCCGGAACCCCTGACTCTGGGATCTGCGTCGTGTGTTACAAGCTAGTTTAAACCAAGTCTCACAGTTCTCGCCCTGCACATTTCCAGCTCCTTCTCTTCAACACCGCCTCCAGCTCAGGAAGCCATTGCCATGCTGGCAGTCAACGCATGTCAAGATAACCTGTTTGGCAATGCCCGGGCCTTCGAAAGCTTGGAGGATGCACAAGATCCGCTTCAACGCGCGATATTCCTGTTTCATTTCCTTCTCTAAAGCCGCCACGGTCGCATTCTGCTGCAAGAAGTTCGCCCGGGCGCGCTCATAGCATTCCTGCAAGATTGCAAGTCACCGGAACAGGGCAAACTTGGAAGCAGGGCAAACTTCTAAACTGTTGCACCGCAATCACACCTGAGATGCCATCCCGAAACAAGGATTATGAAAGGCATGAACGGCTTACTCTGCTGAGAAAGATGCACGACACTTGGAAGATAGAGTCGCAAAGCAAATCAGGAGCCTCGTACTCATGGCAGCGTCGCTGCGCAGTCACGCTGGCTCCGCAAACGCGATGATCCAGCTCGTCCTGCAGTCGTGCTTTCGACCCTTTGGGCTTTGCATCTCCTATTGCACCAGTCTGAGAATTGACGGCCGTAGGTCACGCTCCTGAAGTGAGTTGCACATGCCTCGCAGCTGCTGTTGCTGTTCCTGGCATATGCAGTTAAGCCTCAAGGAGGCTTGGGTTTAGGGTTTAGGGTTTAGGGTTTAAGGTTTATAGGGTATAGGGTATAGGGTATAGGGTTTAGGGTTTAGGGTTTAGGGCCAAGTTTAGGGTTTAGGGTTTCGGGCTTCGGGTTTAGGGGCGTCATAGGAGCGCCTCCAGGGTGGCCTTCCTGCGCCGCAGCGCCTCCGTGCCATTGGCCGCCGTCTCGCAGCCATCTCTCCGCCGGAGCCACCTGGGCTTGGAAGGGCCGGTTTAGGGTTTAGGGTGAGGGTTTTTTGGGTTTAGGGTTTAGGGTTTGGGGTTTAGGGTTTAGGGCTTAGGGCTTCGGAGCTGCGGACTCCGACATCACTAGTCGGTTGCTAGCGATTGCCCTGTGCAGAACACACAACCTCATGTGCTGAAACTGTTGTGTCGCGCTGTCCACAGACGAGGCGCTCCTCATACTTGTCCTTGAACTTATTTCGCAATGCTTCGGCATAGTATCGCATTGTGTCCGGGTGTTGTGGCACGCCACACTCATCATGGGATGGTATTTGGTCGATGGCCTCGAACTTGGCACACTCCGACTTTCGGACCTCTGCGCACAAGGCTCCCCAAACCATGAGGAAAGCCGGACACATGCATATTGTGCATATGGATCCACTAAGATGCCCTAAGACACCCTAAGAGTTTCCAGATGCAGCAAGGTGTGCCATATCGCTGGCGGACCAGACCTCAGTGGCCTCTGCCATTGCCAGGGCCTGGCGGCTCTCGTTCCCCCGGCAGTACAGGTGCTGGCTCTGCAGATCTGTCAGGTCCTCTTGGAGTGAAGCCTCCAAGCGGCAGTGGGAGAATGCTTCAATGAGCCGCTGCAGCTCTTGCACCGAGGCGTCGCTCCGGCTCAGCACCTGCGGTACCATGCCTTCGACCATCCCTCGGATCTGGTCTATGAAGCCGTAGGTGGCGTTGTCCATGGCCACCTTGCCAGCCATGGACATCACCCAGCTTTCCAGGTCGCCTATCTGGGACTCCGAGCCCGCCGACAGGAGGTCCAGTCCTTAGGTGGGGGGCACACCATGCCGACAGAAAATGAAAAACATGGGAGCAACTTAACAACGGGCCACGATATGTTCAGCTAGGTTGAGATACGCCTGGTATGTGAAGATAGCTAAGCTTAGGAAGCTGGCGCCAAGCCTCGGGGCATCTGAGGTGAACTTGTGGTTTCAGTTTCCGCTAGAGCCGCCAGAGATGGAAGCATGACGAATCCATCCGAGTCTGCGTGCACGAGCAGCACGCTCGCCATGGCACTGACCATAAGCCTCGCTGGCTTCGACATCAGTGACATGGCTTGGCGAGCCAATGCCGCTCAGCCGAAACTAGGTGAAACTGAATGATGCCGACATGTCCGGCATGCTTCGTTCCATTATGCAACCATGCTTGGCGCAAACTTTGAACCGAAGGAGGCCGCGCCATCGGTAACTCGTGCCTCAACAAAGTCTTCCAGAGTGTCACTGTCGCATCAAGCAGCTATCTGCGTTCCAACACGCCCTCCACAGCGACACTAGGAATCTAGAAGTGTAGGTCTTTCTTACAAGCGGCCACGAAAAGAGCGAGAAAGCAGCGCCGGAACCACCTCAGCACGAGACTTCCAGCTGTTGATCATGTACGACTAAGTCGTAAGGACGACTGGTCTTGTAGTTCCTTCGTTCATGGCACCGGCAAACCAAGCTTTCCACGCCCGGTCCGTGCTGGTGCGGAGCGACCCATGAAGCCCCAGCATCTCTGAAGGGCTTCCTCTACGAGTACTGCTGAAGTTAACTGTACCCTTTTGTATCAAGGCTATGCTTTCTGTTGTGCGTGTGTGTCTCTGTCTGGTCTGTCTGTCTGGTCTGTTTGGGTCTGCCTCGGTCTGTCTGGTCTGTTTGGGTCTGTCTGGGTCTGGCTGGGTCTGTGTGGGTCTGTCCGGGTCTATGTGGTCTGGTCTGTGTGGTCTGTCTGAGTGTTAGGGTTTGCTGCTTGCTTTCGAGTGACGACAAGGCTTGGCCTGAATCCAACCCAGGCGATTCGGTAAGAAGCATGGTGCATCACATGAACCCTGGCTTGGGCAGCATCAGCCTGATCATCTTCTCCAAGCAAGCCATGGAAACCCGTGCGTGCACCCTAATCACAAAGACGCGTCAGAACATGCGCGGACAGTGATGAGTTTCTCCGCCCGCACCTTCTTCAGGGTAAAGACTTCGGAGCCTCGTCTCACTCACTTCAGCAGCGCATCTCGACTCACTTCAGGGGCACGAACTGGGAGTTCTTGCCCATCATGCCAGCACGTCCGTGCTTGATAGGCTTGTAGGTGATGGAGAATTCCCCCAAGTAGTGGCCGATCATCTCCTGAATGGCGGAGAGGGGGTGAGAACATCTCAGCGCCACAAGCTTCACTCTCAGGCAAGTTGCGGGCTTGATCTCCACGTTGATGTACTGCTTGCCGTTGTACACTCCAACCACACTACCTGCTACAGCAGGCTACTGGCACAGACCAGGACTTCCAAGGCCAGACACCAAATCCTTCCGTTTTCAAAGGCAAGCGGCCAATCATCTCTGGCCTTGGCGGATGCAGAGAGCGCAGCACATGACACTGCTGCAATAGTCTGCCTGCTTAAGAGGCCCAGCCATTTATTTGAGAGAACAAATGCAGTGACTTCCAGCGACTGTGACGAATTCGAGGGGTGAGAGAGCGAGGACTGAGTAGCCATAACATGCCACTACTACGAGTGGGATCCGAGTGGCACGATGACCATGTTCCTGAGGTGCGTCTTCACAGCCTCTGGCTTCTCGCCGTAAGCCGTCTCGCGCTTTGCCTGCATGTGCACGGCAGTGACATGCTGTGCTTGCTTGCGAGCCAATTCTCCAAACACAGATCCAAACACCGAGCTCCGAATGCTTGTGAAGCGCAGGCGCTGGATATTTCTCTCTTGTGGTTACATGCGAAGGCGCAGGAGGACCAACCTAGCCCTCCTGGTGTTTGAGCAGTGCAAGCTTTTCAGAGGGCGTCTGGTGGGGTTCCAGGTCGCCAAATTCTTGTAAAAACCTCTTTGCAGGGGCCCATGTAAGCATCAAAGTGCCTAGTCAGAGACTAACCTAAAGGAAACACTAGGAGTCACCTGGAAACAAAACCGAAGGGAACACTTAGTACCAGAAACTGGGAGTTCAAGCACCAAGAGCAAATCAACCGTTTACCTTTCTGAGATGTCGCGCTTTTCGTTTTCTCAGACTCTCTCATGACTCTCTCAATGTCAATGCGCCTCATTAAACAGGAACGAAGTGAGGGGATCGTGATGAATCGAGCGTAGGCGTTGGGCCATGACGTCCCGGCCTTGCGCAGCTTCTTGAGCACGGTGATTGGCCTGACAGTATCTGCAGATTTGCGCGAACTCCCGGTGGTTCAAGTCCCCTGACAGCTTCAGAGCTCCAGGGCCAGAGCTTGCGCTTGATCCCACGGCTGAACTTTCGGCGCTGGCGTGCGCAGAAGAGCTCCATCAGATCCTGCACAAAGAGAGAGAGAGAGAGAGAGAGAGAGAGAGAGAGAAAAAAAGAGAGAGAGAGAGAGACACAGAGAGAGACAGAGAGAGAGAGAGAGCGAGACAGACAGGCGACATGTGACAATCTGTACAAGAATGTGTACTCACGTACTCGGCCCGTGTGGAACGTGTGGCTTGGGGCAGAGGCCCAGTGGAAGCCAGCCTGGTTGCTCATGTCGAGAAGTTTGTCAAGGTCGATGCCACCTTGGTCGCCCGGAAAACCGACCGCAACTGCCCGAGAGGTGTTGGGCGTCTCGTGCAGCTGATCGGCTGTAATGCTACCGCAGCGAAGTCGCTCCTGCTTAGTTGGCTTAGCTGGCCTGGTGCGCAAAAGCTCCTGGGGCCGTAGCGGTATGAGTACTTCTTGAAGGTTCGCTTCTTGGGGGCATCCTGCAAAGGACGAAACATCAGATGTTGATATCAGGTGCAGTGCATTGCATTGCCGCGTCATCAGTACCATATCAGTACCTATGGCACCGGGTCCTACAAGACACAACACGTGCTTTTCATTACGGTTGCCTCTCCAAAAACACACAGAGACACACAGAACGGCGCCTCACCCTCCGCCATGGCTCGATGCTTCGAAGGCGATGCGCGGCACGTTCCCTACAATTGAGCCAAAACGCAAAGAAATCGAAAGGATTCCAGAGTAGACGTATAGACTGTCAAACCATGGCAAAGCAGCTCCTCAACAAACACGGCACATCAAAACGGCAAAGAGAGAAGATTCTTGGGAATCTAAGGGAGTGGAAGCAGCATTGCCCCAAATTGCCCTGCAAAGCTCTTGTACGGAAAGGTTGCGGGCAGCTCTTGGGCACTTTTAACACTAGTCTGTCACTGCCAGCCAGGTATGACGGCGTGCAGAGGCACTCTACGCCATGTGAGACTACAGCAAGAGCTTCCTGAGGCCTGCGGCGCACCCCGCAAGTCCACGCATCAACATCACGCACCGGAAGGCACTTCGTCGAGTTGCAGATGATCAGCCCTTATCAGCCCTTAGGGGGGTAACCTGGGGTGACATATTTTGGGGAGCAGCCGGCAGGACTTCTGGAAATTCTGGACTGCCGGGCAAGACATCCCTGGGGTCAAAGATGGTCGGAGAATGTCGAAGACACACATCCGAGAGCTTTCCGACAGGCAAACCGTTCTTGAAACCATTTTTAACCCCTTGGGACATCTTGGGACATCGTGGGGAGTCCGGCTTCAGCTTCGAGAGCTTGGCGACTGGCAGAGCTCGAGCCTCAGGAGTTCCAGCGGGAGCGCGAGCGGCCACACGGCGCGCGGCCACACGCGGTGTCAAAGCCAGGCTGGGAAGACATGGCCATGGCCATCCTGAACGGACACGCCCAAAGTAAAGCACCATTGCCACATGCAATTGCCATATGAGTGCTTTTGTGGGTCTAGCTTGTCCTGGCCGAGGGCCACTGTTTCAGTGCGGGTCACCGCCGTGTAGGGCACGGGCCTCGGAAAGCTTCTGAAAGACATCTCAAGACAGGCACAATTGTCCTTCGCGCACGGTCCGACAGTCGTCGTGCGTGGTGTCAATTGTTGGCACGATTTGGCACGCATCGCTGCGAGCGCTCCATCATGGCATCTTGCTCCGTCAACATGATAAGAAACATGCAAGGTCTCCTAATAGGCGTCTCCCCCAGATCATCCCGTTGCCCAGGCGCTGCCCATAGACGTGGATGCAGCCATCCGGCCGGAGATAGTGCAGAACCTCAGAGAAACATCTTGAGGGAATGGACAGCAAGGATCGGCCCGCGGAGCTCTGAGACAGGGACGGAGCTTGCTGATTGCCTGAGACAGCACTCAGCACACATGCGACATCACAGTATCCTACACAGTATCCTACAGCTGCTTCGAGTTCCCGTGCCTGGCATCGTCGGGCTCTGCATCCCCCATGGTGCCATGAAGCCATGTGAGGGGCTTTGGCAGCCGTTCCTGGTCTCTGTCGGATCACTGCGCAACTGCTAACAGCAAAGAGAAGTGAGCAGAAAAGGGCTAGTCCAGACTCCGACGTTTCAATTCTGTAGGCCGTTAGGCATGCCGCAAAGAGGCGGGATCAATCTCCAGAAGTATCAGGTCCTGTCAGATCTGGCATGCAAGAATCACATCTGAGCCAGTGCCAGGGGCTGCACGGGCCTTGCAATCGCCGAAGAAGCGAGCAGCAACTGTCCGCACAGCCCGGGCGTCGCTCAGATGGACGAAGCCATCCTGGAAAAACGTAGCGCAGCTTTGCACAGAACTGAGGCCGGATTGAAGACCGTAAGGCGCAAGGACTGCATGCACGTTTGGCAAGCGCGGCAAGTGCGCTGAACCTTGCTTCCCGGCAAAAACATCATCATCATCATCATCATCATCATCATCATCATCATCATCATCATCATCACCGTCACCATTACCATTACCATCACCATCATCATCACCATTACCATCACCATCATCATCATCATCATCACCATCATCATCACCATCATCATCACCATCATCATCAGCAGCTCAAGTCGCCACTACCACCACTGCAAATCACTAAATAAAGAAATTCAAGACCACAAGAAGGAATGGCTATGCCTATGGGTCGAGGCTCCACCCTTCCCAGCCGATTCCTAGATTCGCTGCACATGCTTATTCAGGTTCACATGTCCTTGGCATCCAACTGTGACAAGATTTGCTGCATCTCTGCGAACCTTGCCCGCGGACGGCAAACAACAATCTTTCGTGCAACAAAAGGTTTAGGGTTTAGGGCTTAGGGTTTCTTCACCAGGGTCCGGACTGCTTGGCCTCGCTCGCGGTAGCAAGCTTAAAGACCTCTGCAAGCGGAGACACGTGAGACTTCACTGCCCCAGAAAAACCCTCGAGCGCAGCTGTTGGAACATGCTATCCAAGCTTCCAGCCCGCGCAGGCACGTCAGTCAACCCAGGAATCGCAGCAAAAACCTGAGACTTTGCATGCAGCCATTCCGAGAGAGACGTCCGGAGTCAACCCAGACGCAGCCACACGAAGACCGGACATGAGACTCAAGTACTAAATTCTGGATATCCCATGTTCTGTAGTCATATTCATGTGCCGAAACATGAGGAAGTTCCCCACATCGAGTTAGTATTAGTAGCCATACTTAGTAGTCGTGCTATGGGGGGAAATGCTTTCCAAGCCGCACGCCCCTGCCTGAGCATGGGGAACTCACCCTCGACCACCTGGTTCCGTGCTTGAGGGTTTTCGGGCTGTTTGGGGGGCTTTTGGGGGTTTAGGGTTGGTTTTTAGGGTTTCAGGGTTTTCGGGGTTTAGGGTTTTTGGGGTTTAGTGCTTGTTAGGGTCAGAGTTGAGGGCACTAGAGGGTGTAGAGCTTAGGGCTTTCGGGTTTTAGGGTTTAGGGCTCTAGTAAGGAAACTTTTGGTATCTCCAGCCCATATTCGGGTTCGGTGTAGGGTTTAGAGGTTTGGGGTTGAGCCAAGTAGTCCGCATGATCTGAGCGCGAAGTACACGGTCAGCGCCTATTTGTTTCCTCTGTACATGCTCGTAGTGATTCTGACCATCTCGAAAGTAGGGAGGCACCAGTTGTAGAGAGCAACCAGTCATCGGACCAAGACGAAATCATGAGGGGTTTAGGATGTGGGTACTCCCCAAACCGAGGGGTACCCCATTCTATACCCCAAATAGAATAGAATTCCCCTTAAAGGGACCCACAAAGGGTACCCCCCCATATTCGGAAACCCCCATTTAGGCTTCCGTGCAACCGAGCCGACCTGTGGAGGGATGCCACCAAAGACATGCGGCCCTTAGCTTCTTGACCCTAAACCCTAAACCCTAAACCCTAAACCCTAAACCCTAAACCCTAAACCCTAAACCCTAAACCCTAAACCCTAAACCCTTAGCTTCTGGGCGGGCAAAAAAAGCAGCCACCAGGGCAGCTCTCTAACCTTCTGGCGGCCTTGCGGTCCCTTCTTGCCCTTTTTCTTGGGATTGGAGTACCCCGATTATGATCCCTAATCATTCCTTGTGGTGCAGGGCCCAAAAGGACACGCCGTTTAGGCCCAACCCCGACATACTTCTATTACGTATTGCGCAGTTTCTGTCTGCATGTCCTTTATTCTTAGCAGTTGAAGATTTGAAGTAGGTGACGAAACCCTCAACCCTAAACCCTAAACCCGAAACCCTATCGGCCCTGCTATGTAGGGTACCACAGAAGGGACTTGGCATGTTCCCCCCTATACTAGCAGGCAGGCCACAACTGAGATCCATCCCCCATGCATCTCAACGACTTTGCACGCTTGATTGGATGTCTGGAAGCACAAACTGCGAAGCAGCAGAGGCCCTCTGCTTACCGAGTCTGACCAAGCATGCTGTGCCCAAGCGGCATACGAAGGCCTTGGAGTTCGTGTCGACATCCTTTGCACCGACTGGCTTCGCCTCGCACATCAAAATATCCAGTTCTCTCACAGCTAGGATGTTGCTGCTACTGCTACTACTGCTGCTACTACTGCTGCTGCTACTACTACGACTACTAATACGACGACTACTACTACAACTACATATACATTTGCAGACTATGTGTGACTGAGTGACTCAATGGGTCCATGCTTGGCAGCTTTTCTCCCGGGAGCCTGCTCATCTCGCGTGACGATGCCCAGCTTCCGCAGCGCGGAGCGGCGAAAGCAGAGGCAGAGCCAGTCCCCATCCACATCCTCCGGGGGCTAAGGACTCGCAATCTGGGGGTTTACGATAATCCGGGACCCCTAATATAAACCCCCCAAAAGTAGGATCAGGTACCCCTGATGTCGTAAACCCCCCATGTTTATTTCTGCCAGTCACACATGGATGCAAGGTGCACAACTCCCACGACCGTGTAGGGATCAGAATAGAGGGTACTATATTTCCTGTTACGGACTGTTAGTATAAGGGGGAACATCCCAACCCACGACCCTCATGCGTCAGGGTTTTGTCGGCAAAGCGCTGATGGAAACTGTCTCCCTCGGTGAGAAATCATGGTACGCAAGAAGTCTATCGGCCTCAGCACTTTAGATGCCCCACTGCATGCTGTGACTGTTGCATATTGGGGATGAACTATTTCTCAACATTTCTTTACCTAAGTAGTCGCAGCAAAATGTGCTCCAGGCGCTCCTGGTAGAAGTGGTTGGCCGTATCCAACAGGCGCGAGGGAACGGCAGTGGCATGCCTTCAGGGCCCCCCAAAATGGTAAAGACAATAAGACTGATTAACGATACATGAGAATCATAATGAGAATCATAATGAGAATCATAGAATTAAGTATAGTGATAACAAATAATGACGAATCATCATGGTAACAATTTTGTACAACGAGATCTGATAAGAATATAGGAATGGCAGTCCTCACAAAACAATGGGGTAATGGATGATGCTTGGGATGTTCCCCCTAATACTAACAGATAATCCCTATTAAGGACTGTTAGTATAAGCGGGAACATCCCAAGATGATGCCCTTCTCGGGCATTCTCAGTACCCACCGGCTAGTCCTTCTCCCGGACCCCAATCAACCCTAGCATGCTTCATGGGTTTCCTGGGGGGGGTTAGTATAAAGAGGGGTAGTAGGGCAGCAACCCATGAATGCTAAAGCTCCAAGTTTGGCAGGTCATGGGCAAATGACGTCCCCAATCTTTCCCGCAAGCTGGCTTGTGCCCGTACCCGAACCCCATCCGATCATCCCTGACACATCTCACACACATCTCACACCAGCATATCCATGTCGAGGGGCGTAAAGCCATCGGCCTCAAAGGTTGGTGGAAAGTAGGCCTTGGTCTTGGTGATCTTACGCGAACAGCGTACCAAGACTTCCTATTCTTGGCCACGCGGCAGCGCCTGCCTTCTTGGCTTCATCCCACAGTGACTTCTGACACCTGGGAGGAACAAATCCTTTCTGGGCCCCGTGCGGAGTGCCCTTAATGCGAGGTCTCTGAGAGGGCCTTCAAGGCCCGTTGAGGGTACAAAGACAGGTGTAGAGGAAGCTGACTTTTCCGGTGCATAAAGTCCCGTCGAGAAGGCGCACAAAAGCCCATTCCATCCGAGGCGCATGTGGTAGAGGACTTCCTGTGCTTCGATGCGAGACACACTGAGCAGGGTGGGCATAACTGACCATGCGGGAAGACGAATCACTGCTGAGCTGCTGCCAATGTCTCACTTCGGAAACATGTTGACTCAGCATGATCACTCTGAATGTTCTTGCATCCGAAACTCTGGAGCATCAGAGTCCGGCACGGGTTGCTGCTGATACCCATGGTTTCCTGCATGCTGCGAGTGCAGTTGCTCAACCAAAACAGAACTAGCAGCAACGTGGAATCAGATTGAGATCATTGAGACGCGCAAGAGGTGGAATGAAGTCGAAGTGAAAGGGGCAGGGGAAGTTGCGACTGCAACTTGCACTAAACGGCTTTCGTGTGCTCAAATCTTCAGCACTAATTTGTTCGCTAAGGACAGAGAAGACAGAAGAAGAACCCCACCGTGCATCCAGTTCTTCAAGGTATTGGTGTGTCGGCTATGGCACTTCAGACGAGCGGGAAGGCTGAACCAGGTCGCGCGAGGTCAGTGGCACCCTTTACCCAGATGTCTCCTCCGCCTCCCACTGCTGCCGATCACCATCATTGTCATCACCATCATCAACCCTCACTATCACCGTCGTCATTTAACTTCTCAAAAGACTTTCAGGCTGGGCGTCCTCCATGCAGCTCTTGAAGTTTTGTGCTTACCACACCTGAAACCGCCGTCAGCACAGGGCTGTCTACACGAGCTCCATGTTGGTTCTCATGTCAATGTGTCATCAAGACAGCCACAAACTAAGGCTCACATCTAGGCTTCCCACTTTCCGCCTCCTCACGGATGCAGCGGTCCGGGCGGAAGGCTGGCAAACAAACCTGTCTGCCAAGCTGCGCTGAATTTCAGGAGCACACTCTCAGCATGAGTGAGATTGACTGGCTTCGGATGAGCAGTATTCGAAGGACAAGTTGCCGGGATGTACTCCGTGGCACCATCGGGAAAAGTTGGCCGGAACCGCTCTCCTGCAGTAGTCACCGCTCTCATCCGGGAGACCGTAAAACCTTCAAGAGCTCAAGCGCCCCCCCAGCCTTTCTCAATGAAGACGGTCTGCCCAGCCAGAACCTGCGAATCTGGCGAAACCTTTTCCTCACCCTGGCACTGCAGAGACTTCATGGAATAGGGTTTAGGGTTTAGGGTTTAGGGTTTAGGGCTTAGGGCTTAGGGCTTAGGGCTTAGGGCTTAGGGTTTAGGGTTTAGGGTTTAGGGTTTAGGGTTTAGGGTGTAGGGTTTATGGTTTAGGGTTTAGGGCTTGTATATAAGGTACCCTTCATTATGCACCGCTTTTGAAGGCTCTTGCCCTGCCTCCAAACTCTCTCCATCTCCATGCAGCAAGACCTGGAGACTTGTGTTTCCTTGCTGACGGTGGCTGTTGGGTGCCACCCCAGCCCAAGCAACATGTATACAAAATCCGAACAACGTCCAGCCAGGGGTGCAGCCCGATGAAATATCCAAGGCTGCGACTAGGCGACCACGGAGCACCTTTCTGTGACGGTAAAACTGAGAAGCTGTCAGAGCTCTTGCTTCAAATCGGGCTGCCTCCCTAGGTTACACAAGCTTCAATTCTAAGCCATACATCCTGAAGTTTCTGAGCCACTAAGTAAGCCTGTCCGGCAAAACGTCAAATCATGAAACTCTCGCATGCACACATAACAGGGAACAGGACATCAACACTACTTAGCCCTGGCAGACAAGAAAGGACACGTATATGCCTGCACATGGCCTCAAAGTGATGAACCAAGTGCAGTCATCGCGGCGCACATCCACTCGTCGTAATGCAGCGTCAACCACGGCTCACTCGTGGGCTCTGTGATCTCAGGAAAACATGGGCAAAGCATGGGCTCTAAGTTGATGCGCCCTTCAGCCCGACAGTCAAGCCCATGCACGGAGTAATCCTCCCTCAACGTTCAGGCTGCCTTCACGTGTGCAATGCTGATTCGGTCGTTCTTGGTTGCCACATTCCCTGCCAGTTCGTCGATGGTCCTCAGCCCAAGGTACTCAAGCAGCCCCTGCAGCGCGAACTCAGTTCTGTTCTCATGCCCCAGTTCCCACAATGCTCCGCTAGACCATTCTTGAGGCTGAGTATGGATACTTGTGCACGTACATGTGCACAAAAGGTTGCACGTCGCTTGCCGATTCTTGGCATGCCGTTGGGGGTGCATGCGCGCATGCGCGCGCATGTGCGCGAGCGCGTGCGAACGTGCGAGCGTGCTTGCGAGCGAGCCTGCAAGCGTGCGTAGGCGTGCGTGGGTGTGTGTGTGTAGACGGAAATTTGCGGGGACGGCATGAGAATGTTGTAGGAGAGGGTACAAGGTCATGGTGCACTTGTGCACTGCTGTCAGTTGTGACAGCGTAAACCGGCGGAGAGCCGAAACCATAATACCCAAACCCTAAACCCTAAAAACCCTAAAAACCCTGAAAACCCTAAAAACCCTAAAAACCCTAAAAACCCTAAAAACCCTAAACCCAAAACCCTAAACCCTAACCCTAAACCCAAAAACCCTGACCCCAGAACCCAAGCCATGGAGCAGCTCGCCCGTGTCCACGACCCTGGCGGCATCGCCCACGAGACGCGGCATGGCAAAAACTTTGCAGGAGAGGCGTTGTCCGCTTTAATGCCTTCGATGACCCAACTGGGGGTTCCCGATATTAGGGATACCTTACTGGGGTCCTGACTATCACGGGATCTTACTTTTTTTGGGATCCATATTGGGGGTCCTCTATTTTCGTAAAACCCCCAACTTCCAACTAACCACATGAACTGGTGTTCTGCCGTGCGCTTAGGGGGTTGCAGACATGTGGCGACGTGGTCGAGTACACCTTGCCGGCGCTTCGACACTGTGAGCCAAATGAGCCAACATGGTGCTGGGGAAACCTATCAGAACCCGTACACTCCAGGGGCCGTTAAGCCTTTCACCATGACGAGAATTGCATGAGAACACTCCAACAGTGTTCAGTGCCTTAAGGAAGAGTAGACATCCGTGGCCTGACGTAAACAGTACAGGTGCGTCGCGAGCGTTCGACTGCATGTTGTGCCTCCTTACCAGAATGGCAAGGTTGCAAGGGTTCATGAGGCGCGCTAGCAGAGACACATGGGTGCAGCCGCATGAAGCCACGGGTGCAAGGAATGTGCCTTTTCTTGTCCGACGAACAAGTGCTAACGATTCTGCGCAGTGGCCACCAGCATAAATGCCTCGGCTTCAGTGCCTCTCACTTGTCTGTAACCCTCTCTTCAGCTTTTGACTAGCGGCCCCCTAAGCTACATGCTAGTGGCTGCCCGATGGAATGCGAAAGTCTGTTGGGATGCTGCCGGCAAGAGGCTTGGTTCACACCAATGTAGGGCATCAGCAGCGTCAGCAATGGCATGGCAATCATCCATGCCGGCCCTAACCACTTCAACACGCCGGTTACCTTGGAAGTCAGATGGGGTTTTCCGACATTAGGGGTACCTTGTTGGGGTCCATAGTAGAAGGGAATCCTACTGTTTGGGGGTGTATTGTAGGGGTCCCCTATTCTGGTAAACCCCCAGATGCATGCTGCAGACATCTAAGGCTGGGCGGACAGCTCTTAAGATGAACACATGACAGGATGCCAGCTCGTTCAGTATCAGGTCATGTATCAAGCGCTCCCACCATTGCCACGTCGTAAGTGCCTGCCATTTCGGCTATGAATCCCTAAGCCACTAACTAACCTCAAGGCCGCCAGCGAAGCTTAGGCATTTGGGGGCATTTTGGCTGTTTCCTCACAGCTTCAAGACGCCACCGAACATCCGATTGAGCCTCGCGAAAGCACCCCAGCAACACAGTCTCAGAGTTTGAGTTCAGGTGTGCGTGCATGAAAGGGATCGGCGTGTGTCTGCGCGTTTCGTGGCATTGGCGCGGGTCGCCCCCAGCGGAAGTTGGGTAAAGCTGTTAAGCAGGGCGTGAATCGCAAACACCCCCCCTCCCTCTTCTTTACACAAACAATACTCGCAACATAGGGCCCTGTAGGTCAGGGGGGAAATTCCGCGAACGTCGACACAGCGTGTGCTTCTATCATCCGAGCCTGATACCAGGAGAGAGTGCTCGCCTTTGCTGGCGTCATCTTTGTCTCGCCAACCCATAGGTAAGCGCAGGGGTGCAGCACATCCAACGCGATCACCGTAACGATGATCAGCGAGGACAGCCCACCTGCGTCTCCGAAGGCGATGTTCGAAGAAACACCAGGCATTACAAAGGGCTTAGGGTTTAGGGTTTAGGGTTTCCCTGACATGCCAGCCCTGCCTTCATTCATTGTGGCCATGAGATTGCAAAAGCAGATCCACGCAGCAATTGCGAGGAGTACCAACAAGAGCGTCCAGTACTTCACGAGATGAACGGCAATCTTTCCCGACGCCTCGTTCACCTCTGAAGAAAGGGGAGAGGTCCCGCTGTGCCACGGACACATGCGACATGTCACTGTTGGCAGGCTCAACTGAATAAACTGAATCAAACATTCGGCCAGCGGCCGTGACGTCCTGGCCGTAAAGCTGGTAGCGGAAAACGTCTTGAAGGCCCTCCACCATGGAGTAGATCACCAGTGGGGCAGTGATGTAATATCCTTACAGAGATTCACAAGCTCTCAAGTCACAAGCTCCAGCCGTTGAACAGTTGTTGCTATCGCCCTCCGCCGCGACTTGTCCATGAAGAACTCCATCAAGAACATCAAGTTGCACAAGCGAGTTCACGAACGAAGCAAAACAGCAAAACAATGAGCGAATGAACGAAAACCCCCAATATTTCGATTCATGCGTCCTCATTGCGATTGAAAACATGGTAATGGGCATTTTCATAATGCTTGTCTCAGCAGTCGGTTCGGTTTAGTAGCGGAGGCTTTGGGGGCTTGTGACCGCTGAAGTAATGCGATATGGTAGGCACTACGGGGCATGGGCACGGCTGCTCATGGTACAGTCAGTGTAAATCCTTGTCCGGGCAGCTCTGCGTGGACCTCCAGATGTTGTCGATCGTTAACATGGCCTCAGGCTGCGACATGGCGACATTCTTGCAACGTTGAGGATTTAGGCCCTGTTTGGGGGTTTGCTTTCAAGCGCCAGTACAGAGGGCCCGGAAGGGGGGAAGGCTCCCCACCTCTCCTTCCTCCAAGGCGCTACTTCGTTGGCCTCCATGCTCGCTTCCAGGGAGTGGCGCATGCAACTGGCGCCGATGAGGCCCCAATTCAGGACCTGCACACTTAGCGTGCTTGGTTAGGGTTTAGGGTTTGGGGTGTAGGGTTTAGGGTTTAGGGTTTAGGGTTTAGGGTTTAAAGTTTAGGGTTTAGGGTTTAGGGTTTTTGCAAGTTTGCCGTTGTTTGCCTGCAGGATGAGCGTGAAGATGAACATCAAGACCGGCGGGTAATGGAAATCTCCTCAGCTGTGCCATGCTTGCGTCTGCTGTCGGCTGAACCGGCAGTCTTGCAGCCTGTGCTGCTGCCATGGAGCTACCACTGAACACGTTGTAAAAGTTGAAGCCTGCACTGGGAAGCACCACACATCTGCAAGCTTACAAAGCAAGGTCCCTGGCTTCGCCCTGCCTATCCAAAAGAACGGCACCCAGCACCACAGGAAATGCGACAGGTTGGTGACCATGATCAGCAACCTGGACTCGCAGCTGCGTGCCCAGTGCGAAAGGGTACCAGTGATCAGTGCGATGGCTTGGGCCTGCCCCACCACCTCATCTCATCCGGCCAAAACGATCCACAGTTCAAGCCTCGGCTTTCTTGCTTCCTAGGATTTCCTTGGGCACACCATCGGGCACTCCTTCGCTCTAAAAAGCACGTGAGGGGTGGAGGCGGTGGGGGGGGGAGAGGGGGGCAACTTGCAACTCATCCTGAACTCGAAACCCTGCACCCTAAACCCTAAACTAAATTCCCACCCGGCCTGCTTAGGCCGTACCCACCCACCCAGAATTATACCCGGCAGCGAGATACACCTTTACTGGATGGACAATGGGTGGTGACATTGGAGAGTGGTCGAATACAGCCCCTAGGGCTGAGCCTTGCTTTAGGACCACTTACGTGGTGCCTTTTTTTACAAGGGGAACCCCAGAGGACGTTTCCTTGAGGGGGTACCTGTTTATCCTCCCCCCCCCCCCCCCCCCCCCCTGGCCCCCCCTGGCCCCCCTGGCCGCCCCCCTGGCCCTCCCCGCCCTTGCCCCCCCCGGCCCCCACTCACACCCCCCACCTCTTCCGGGCCACCCCTACCCCTCCCCCTAACTGGCCCTCTGTGGCCCCCCCCTGGCCCTTCCCCGGCTTCGTCCTTTGTCTGCACAAAAATGTTTGGTTTCATCGAGATTTGAATCGTTTTCATGGTGGGAATTGAGGGCGACAGCCCTAAACCCTAAAAGGCGGTGGTTTGGGTGGTGGCCTGTGAAAGCTCACAGCGGGTGGGGAGAAAGATCCCAGCACCAATGAAATTGTTGGATTACATTGAAACAGATGCCTTCGCGTGACATGCCGCCCCCCCACACCCCCTGGGTGTGTTGGGGCGCCATTTACACATCGCACTTACTGCCGCTGCGCGGCGAGACGCCCTAAACCATCCTAAACCCTAAACCCTAAACCCTAAACCCTAAACCCTAAACCCTAAACCCTAAACCCTAAACCCTCGAGCCAAGCGACAGCAGCGCTGAATCACCTTGCAGGTCTGGGTCACGACTGCGAAGATCAGGAGCCACGCTCCCAAGCTTGCCACCCAAACCTCAAATAGGGTTTAGGGTTTAGGGTTTAGGGTTCAGGGTTCAGGGTTCAGGGTTTAGGGTTTAGGGTTTAGGGTTCAGAGGTTAGGATTTAGGGTTTAGGGGCCCAGGAATTTTTGTTGGAACCACTTTCCTGCCAGGGCTTCCCTCTTTCTTCTGTTCCGAGGCCCGGGCCGCAATCTGTAGCGTGATCACAATGAAGCCTCATAGGCTCATAGGCTTTCCCACGAGACAGCACAGAAGAGTTGGGGGGGGGGGAGGGGGGGGCAAGGGGTTTTTGCGTTTATAGAGTACAGAAGGGTGGGGGGGGGGGGGGGGGGGTATGGGCTTGTTTAGGTCGATGAATGTCGGGCGAGATGCTTTGGAGCCACTCCTCATCGTAGCCGACGAACTCGTTGAGAAAATCTGCAGCACGTTCACTCCAGCTCCTGACGCTGAGCCCGCTTGGATGCAGCCCCTTCCCAAAAGCACCCCTGTACACCCCGTGAACGCGTCCTGATCGGATGCATGATTGTGTGGTAGGTGTCTTTCGGGAACCACCCCCAATCCACGACCTGCGCACGTGCCACTCAGGACAGGCTCCCCGAACCCCACCGCACTGTCCCGTGAAGCTCGCCTGCCATTCGAGGTCGGCCTTTGTAACGAGCCTTGGAACATCTCAGCTTACATGACAGCTGCCAGCAAGCCTGCTCTGCTCGTGCCAAGTCACCAGAACAGCGAGAAAAGGAAACACGCAAATGCGATGAACGTCGTCCAAAGTGACACCAAGCCTCATGAAAGTTCTCCATGCAGGCACTGAACGCAGGCTCTCCGACAACATGCAGGGAGCGTGACGATGCCCTGGTAATGCGCTCACTGCTTGTGCTGAGCAGGACGACAGCTGGCTCTGTTTTATGTTGATTCAGACCGGCATGTCATGGTGGTCTGGCGTGGTCAACATCGGCCCCGATTCCCACGACTTACTTCCCCGGCCTGACTGACAGCGGAAGAAGCTCTGAAGCGAAAGGACGAAGTGAGCTTGAATGCCTTAGTTGCTGAGTTCATCAGCCCCCCAAAGAGTGTACATTTTCAGTTCTACAGGGGATTGTAGTATCCCAAAAAGTGTAAAGTGCACTCATTCAGCTGCAAAGATGCTCTTCTGCACTGCAATGAGGTGCTCCTCTGGAGTCAGTGCCAGGCCTCGGATGCTCTGCAATAGGCCTCGGACCTGCCTAATGTTTTGGGGGTTCAGGGTTCAGGGTTTGGGGTTTCGGGCTTGGGGATTAGGGCTTAGGACTTAGGGTTTGGGGTTGGGGTTTGGAGTTTGGGGTTTGGGCTTTCCAACGCTGCCGGGTCACCATAGGACAGCCGCCTGCCTGAAAGCACTCGCAAGGTCTAGCGATGTTTTGCAGCTCACCCCCTCGAATCCCTGAAGCCTAAACCCTAAACCCTTAACCAAGATGCTCTGCTTCAAACTCTAAGCCTTAAACCTTTAAACCCTAAACCCTAAACCCATGTCCCAAGCTTGAGTGGAGCGGCTGATGAAGTGGGACCGGTTGCCGCTCACAATCCTTAGAATCGGCTCGGGCCGAAAAGGCTCCCCCCGCCTCGTCATAGCATAGTAATGGCTATGATAACCTGTACCGGTAGTTTCATTAAAGCAAACAACGTACTGATAACACGAATCCAACAAAGAAATGGCGACAGGGATAACGATGCCGCTCATGACACTGAGACTGATAATCATGCAGTAATGAATGGAAATCATGATTGCATCAGTACAACAAGGACAAAGCAGCAACTGGTTAAAGGGCCGAAGTGCTGTTTCAAGCTGAAGGCTGCATCTTCCGTGGCACAGGTCTCAGGGAATGTGAGGAACTCGACATACTCCTGGCAGGAACGCCGGTTACGCCATCGTGCCCAGGCCGAACACCCGAAAAGCCACCAGCAGGGCCCTGCAAGTCCTTGTGCTTGTGCCTCTTCCGCTTTCGATTTTTCCGAGTCTTCTCCAGCTCCCAGATGAGATCATCATGCTCCTCCGGCTCTTTGCGGTTTAGGAGCCAGGTGCTGTTGGTGCTGCTGGCGCTGACCTTACAGCGGAGGGGAAGGCAGTCCGGCTACGCTACTTTGAGCACACAGTGAGGCGGCGACACCACCGCAGCAGTTGTGGATCATGCAGTTGAGGCGAAAATACTGTGCGTCGTTGTTGTCCTCAGCTGCAGTTGGCACAAGAAGATTGCAAGACTGCCACATGCCTCAGCCTGCGGGATGGCACAAACGATGTTCACCCCCCACTTGCTGTACCTGCCAAGTGTCTAGATAATCGGCCCGATCCTGTACATGTGGAAAATATTTCGGACACCTCAGCTCGTCAAGACATAAGCGCCTCTAGCTCTGCATGGCTCTCTGATGAGGTTCCTGGGGTGCCCAAGCAGCAATACAGCCCCAGGAAGGCAATCAATGCTTGAGGAGGCACTGGCAAAAGCGAACACTCCTGTTCAGGTTTTCAGAGAGGTCAAAGAAATAGGGGATCGTAGAGTGATAGAAGTCCTCAGGTCTGCGCACACGGACATGGCTTGGCGTCGAAAGATGCACCACGAACGCTCCAAGGAAAACTGCGGTCTTGCCAAGATTCTGTCTGAAACTGATGGCGGGCATCGCAAACACTGAACAGGTGCGGATGCACATCCTCGGCACTGTGCAGGAGCGGCCTTGTTGGGGGGGGGTTCCTTTTTGAGGGGAGTCTAGTCTATTTGAGGGATGAATGGGGTATACCCCCATTTTGGGAAGTATGATGCTGTTTTGTGTTGTCCATTGCTTGCCAAAGCTCCCGGTCATCGCCGTAGAGATGGCGGGCGCGTCCAGCATAAACAAAAAAATAGTTGGCAGCAAAATTCAGACCACCTGGATCATGCTTCAGCAGCCAAACTGCGCAACCATCGCGCACTCCCACGCGCAAGCCTGCTTTCCCACGACTTGCACGGAGAGCTATCTGCAGCTTGCTGGTATCCATCTCTTCGAGGCCTCAGATGCCCTGAGCCTGATGCTGACAACATGTGGGCGTTCTGACGTCCCTAAACCCTAAACCCTAAACCCTAAACCCTAAACCCTAAACCCTAAACCCTAAACCTAAACCCTAAACCCTAAACCCTCTAAGTGCGTCGGGCGAGGCGCCATGGAGCATCTGCATGGCCTTCGAGCGGCAAGCCAGCCACCGATCGTTGCCTGTTCCCTGCGGCACCTCGCAAGTACTTAGTTCTTTCATTTTAGGATGTTCCCGCATAGACTAACAACAGTCCTTGTTTGTACCCCCTATTGAATATTCCCTACTAAGGACCGTTAGTACAAGGGGGAACATCCCAACTTTCATTTGGCTCCACGTCCTTCCTCTCTCCCAGAGCACATTTTGCTTCTCACATGGCCATTTCCAAAAATGGGGGTACCCCGAACATACCCCCAAATACTATCACCCTTTTAAGGGGACCCCCGAAAGGGGCAGCCCCCCACTTTCGGAAACCCCCCCATGCTGCCTCATAGTACCAAGTTCCAGGAGCCACATGCTGTGTCTTTAAGGTCCGCTCGTCCTTCCAAGCATGGCAGAGTAGGACGCACATGTGCCTAGGTGCCTAGCATGTTCAAGAATGAAATCCAGGCCAGAGAGTTGCAACTCCTCCGGAGGATTCGCCCTGGCCAGATAGTGCAAGCGCAGCGCGATGCCTCGGAAATAGCTCCGACAAAGGGTTGGGGCTCATAGAACTCATGGCGTCTCTGGCATGGCACTGCAAAAGCAGACGAGCCACTATTCATATCTGCTGGCATCCAGTCCACCAAGTCATCCAAGTAGGACTTGCTCTTATGGGGGCCTGAAAAGTGGCACCCTAAACCCTAAACCCTAAACCCTAAACCCTAAACCCTAAACCCTAAACCCTAAACCCTAAACCCTAAACCCCTAAACCCTAAACCCTAAACCCTAAACCCTAAACCCTAAACCCTAAACCCTAAAACCCTAAACTTGCCCTAAACCCTAAACCCTAAACCCTAAACCCTAAACCCTAAACCCTAAACCCTAAACCCTAAAACCCTAAACTTGCCCTAAACCCTAAACTGCTCGGCAGCGCCCTAGCAAGGCTCACCGGATCTCCCCCAGTTGCAAGAACTTGCCTGCTTCCAGGAGCTCCTCCTTGAGGCCAGCTATCGCCTTGAAGCGAGGACTCATGCAGGGTTTAGGGGTTTAGGGGTTTAGGGGTTTAGGGGTTTAGGGGTTTAGGGGTTTAGGGGTTTAGGGGTTTAGGGGTTTAGGGGTTTAGGGGTTTAGGCGTTTAGGGGTTTAGGGGTTTAGGGGTTTAGGGGTTTAGGGGTTTAGGGGTTTAGGGGTTTAGGGGTTTAGGGGTTTAGGGGTTTAGGGGTTTAGGGTTTAGCCCCCGAGTCTGAGGCTGAACTGAGCACATCCGCACGGTCTGCACGAATCACGAATCTCGAGTCACATCTCATCACTTAGGCCGTCGGCGGATTCCAGCGCGGTGCAACTGACTCGCTGCCAGCCCCACGCTTTCCGCAGCTTCTTCAGCACTTCCTCTACAGGTTGAGGCTTTACTACGAAAATAGGGGACCCCCAAGATAGTCCCCCAAATAGTAGGATTCCTGATCACAAGGACCCCAATAAGGCACCCCCTAACTTCGGAAACCCCGGCCTCGCCGCTGAGCTTGTTTAAGGTCGCCTGCGAGTTCTCCGCGTAGAAGCTCCGGACCAGGTCTTCTCTCGTAAGTTTGTTCGTTTCTTCCTCATTGATGACTGAAGCTCAAGACACTCTCTCCAACATTTGGGACAAGAGCTCATGCCCACTCTAAGATTGGAGCCACCCAGACGTGGAAGAACTGTCGCACGCTCTCCTCATAGGCCTGGAAGCCAGCTCCTGCCGCCAAGTAAATCCGAGTGGCGCTGACTCGAAGCCCTGTCTGCTGAGTCTACTCGTGTGAGTGGCGCGGGATCCGCAACAGACATGCTGGAAGGTCCTGATGGGATGGCCTGCAGCAGCTCACAAAGCTTGGCCCACAGCGCCTTTTGCTGCGCGCGGTGGCCTGCAAGCCATGTACAGATACGCAAACACATTCGAAGATTCGAAGACCCGCAGCTTCTGATTGCGATACAATCCCAGACTTCTCGGGCGCTTGACAAGCTCGGCAAACTCCAGGAAAAGCAAATCCCACTACAGGAACTTAATTGCTATGAATACTATGGTTACTCTGCTGACTCTTGCGTGTTTTTTCAACCTTTTCCTTTGTTCCCACGGTTACGGTGCGAGGCACAGGCTGCGACTGCAACCATTCGCTCTGGACTAAACGCTGGCACCCAACGACTTCTTCTTGGAGCGTCTCCGTCACAGTGGCCCCTCCCTCCTCTAGGGGCCTCAAACAGCCTGTTTCCTTCGTCAAGGTTTGCCTGCCTTCGTCCAGGAGCGCCACATGGTAGCGGCAGCCGCAGTCGGATGGCAACGCGCTGACCGCACCTCGGGCCACCGGAGCTTTGGATCTACCTTGCCTCTTGTAAGGCAAAGCAAGGCGCCAAAACAACATCAAGCAACAGCCGCTGCGTCGAGGCACCGATCAAGCTGCGCAGGACTATGCTGGGAGGCTCATCCTTTGTCAACACAGCCACCACGATGTAGCCTCGAGCCCGAAGGACCAAGGACGGCTATGGGGCTAAGTGGCGTGCAGCGACTCACTGAGCTAAGGGGTGGTCGCAGCTGCTGGGTGAGCTCTGGATTGTACCTCTCAGTGTCACAAGCGCATGTCTCAACACTGCGCATAGGCTTCACATGCAGTGTGTGTGTGTGTGTGTGTGTGTGTGTGTGTGAGTGTCTGTGTCTGTCTGTCTGTCTGTCTGTGTGTCTGTGTGTGTGTGTGTGTGTGTGTTGGTGTGTGTGTGTGTTGGTGTGTGGGTGTGTTGGTGTGTGGGAGTGTGTGTGTGTTGGTGTGTTTGTGTGTTGGTGTGTGGGTGTGTTGGTGTGTGGGTGTGTTGGTGTGTGGGTGTGTTGGTGTGTGGGTGTGTGTGTGTGTTGGTGTGTTTGTGTGTTGGTGTGTGGGTGTGTTGGTGTGTGGGTGTGTTGGTGTGTGGGTGTGTTGGTGTGTGGGAGTGTGGGTGTGTTGGTGTGTTTTTGTGTTGGTGTGTTTGTGTGTTGGTGTGTGG